ACCAGCTATAGGTGTCCTCAATCAGAAGAAGAGGCAGGAGGATTGCTTGAGCCCAGAAGTTAAGGTTGCTGCCAACAGAATGAGACTTTGTCTCACAAAAAAGAAAAATCAAAAACAAACCTTAAACAAGCTTTTTTTTTTTTTTTTTTTTAGACAGAGTCTTACTATGTCGCCATCGGTAGTGTACCATGGTGTCACAGCTCACAGCAACCTCAAACTCTTGGGCTTAAGCCTTGCCTCAGCCTCCCAAGTAGCTGGGACTACAGGTGCTCACCACAATGCTAAGCTATTTTTGTTGCAGTTGTCATTGTTGTTTAGTTGGCCCAGGCCTGGATTGAACCTGCCACCCTTGGTGTATGTGGCTGGAGCCATAACCATTGTGCTACCTGAGTCTAAAAAACTTTTCTGTATTATGAAAGAATATGAAAGGTTTTTAGAATCATAGGACCATATATGTAGATACAGCCTTAAAATCACAGAAAATATGGCTATTTTGAAAATGTCTTTTTTGTTAAAAAAAGGATTTTTTATTTTTTTTGAGACAGAGTCTCACTTTGTTGCCCTTGGTAGAGTGCTCTGGCTTCACTGCTCACAGTAACCTCAAACTTTAGGGCATAAGTGATCCTCTTGCCTCAGCCTCCCAAGTAGCTGGGACTGCAGGCAGCTGCCACAATGCCCAGCTATTTTTAGAGATAAAGTCTAGCTCTGGCTCAGGCTGGTCTTGAACCCAGAGCTCAGGCAATCCACCTGCCTCGGCCTCTCAGAGTGCTAGGATTACAGGTGTGAGCCACCTCACCCGGCCCTTAAAAAAAGATTTTCCTCACAAAAGAAATTAACCTTGAAAAATAGAATAATGAACAATTAAGGTTTTAAATGACAACAGTAAATATCCCAAACCTAAATATCAGTTACTATTTCAATTATTACTCTAAGATTTTGTTTTTAATTTGAGATCTGGTTTTAAGACTTCAGATTGCCTTAGACATATTTGTAGCATGTTATCGTAATTTAATGGAATGACAGAGTAACTGAGCTAGAAGGGATAATGAAGATAGCCTGATTCAACTCTTGCATTTTATTATGGTTCTCCTGAGATTCAAAGAGTTTGAGAGAGTTGTTCAATGTCACACAATAGTGGGACAAAACTTGGACTCCAAATCCCTTGAATCTTAGGTAAATATACTATAATTGTAAATTAAAATGGCAATATTTTGTTTTAAAAAAACTTCTGGGATGGGCACGGCGGCTCACAACTGTAATCCTAGCACTCTGGGGGGGCTAAGGCTCATCCACTCAGGTGGATTGCTTGAGCTCAGGAGTTCAAGACCACCCTAAGCAAAAGCAAGACCCCTCCCCCATTTCTACTAGAAATAGAAAAACTAGGTGGGTATTATGGCAGGCACCTGTAGTCCTAGCTACTTGAGCGGCTGAGGCAAGAGGATGGCTTGAGCCGAGGAGTTTAAGGTTGCTGTGAGCTATGAAGCCATGGCACTCTACCAAGAACAATAAATCTTTGTCTCAAAAATAAAAAGAAAATTAGGCATTGTGAGACACCTATAGTCCCAGCTACTAGCCAGGCTGAGACAGGTGGGCCACTTGAGCCCTGGAGTTTGAGGTTGCTGTGAGCTATGATGCCATGGCACTCTACCTAGGGCATCAAAGTGAGACTGTGTCTCAAAACTAACTAGGCTGGGCATGGTGGCTCATGCCTATAATCCTATCATTCTAGGAGACTGAGGCAGGTGGTTTGCCTGAACTTAGGAGTTCCAGACCAGGCTGACCAAGATTGAGACCCCATTTCTAAAAATAGCCAGGCATGGTGGGCACCTGTAGTTCCAGCTACTTGGGAGGCTGAGGCAAGAAGATCACTTGAGACAGAGAGTTTGATGTTGCTGTGATCTAAGATGAAACCACAGCACTGTACCCAGGGCAATAGAATGAGACTGTCTCCAAAAAAACCAAAAAAACAAAAAAAACAAGAATTTGTTCTTCCTGGTTCTAAAAATCAGTGTTGGACAGTTAGCAGTCCCCAACTACCAAGAGTTGGCTGACCCAGTCAGCTTCTCCTGAGAAGACTTAGCTAAGATGGGCTGGAGTTGCATTAGGGCCTTCCCCAGGTCTAGTCCATGGCCATGCATATAAGAGGTCGCTTAGGGATTTGGGGTGAGGTAGAAGCACCTGTCAGAACTAAAGCCCTACCTCTGGCCCACACTCTGCCGTTTTTCCTCCCTCATTTGCTGCCCCATTTGGGCAGCCTCCCCACCGGGTCTCCCAGTCTCTGCTGCCCAGCTGAGGAAGCATCAGTCCCAGCCCAGCTGCAGACCTCTCCTGACTCTTTCCTGCTCTTCAAGCCTCCTCACCTCCCTTCCCCACTCCTTACTCTGTCCTGAAGAAGTTTCTGAGAACGACTTCATGCCCTGTTATCATGTCTGAGGAAGTCTAAAGTTCAGGACTTTGGGTAATTAAGCTCAAGGCCTCTCAGCCAGCTAGAAGTGAATAAACCAGGGAACATTCCTAGAGAAATGGTTTGAGAAAGCTGAGTCAGTGTGTCTTTGCCAGGGTGGGACCAAGGCCATTGGCCCTCTGGGGTCATTGCCCTTGCTTTCCATTTCCTGCCAATCCCTATACCTGAGAAGGTCACTAGACCCCTGAGACTCCTGAATGACTACACTGCCTATCCCAAGAACTGTACTTTAGGAGGAGAGCAAAAAGAGAGGACTCCGCTCTACCCTTGGGAGATACTTTGAGGTGGTTGGTGACAGGAGGAGAGAGTCCTCTTTGTAATTGCCAGCAATTGCTTCCTCTGCTGCTATCTACTCACCAGCCCAGCGCCTCCTCTGCCTTCCTAGAGGTGACTCTTTCAACCGTCTTATGGGCCCTTTTCTCACTGTCTCAAATCTTTACCGGAACCTCAGCCTCCCCCAGATCTCTTTTGCCTCTCTCCACAACCCCATGGCTCTCTGTCTAACCTGGTTTCTTAACCTCTCTGAACCTCAGGTTTTTGTTTTCTGGTTTTTGGTTTTTTTTGAGACAGAAAACAATTATTAACCTGGGAATGCTTTCCCAGTGATTAATTATTAATTAATCACTTATTAACCCCCAGTAGAGTGCTGTGGCATCACAGCTCACAGCAAGCTCCAACTCCTGGGCTTAGGTGATTCTCTTGCCTCAGCCTCCCAAGTAGCTGGGACTATAGGCGCCTGCCACAATGCCCAGCTATTTTTTTGTTGCAGTTTGGCCGAGGCTGGGCTTGAACCCACCACCCTCAGTATATGGAGCCAGCATGCTCCTCACTGAGCCACAGGCGCTGCCCTCAACCTCAGTTTTTTAAATATCTAAAATGGGAATAAGAATAGTACTACCATGTAAGAGTGATTGTAAGATTTTATTTATTTTGTTTGTTTGTTTGTTTGTTTTTGAGACAGAATCTCAAGCTGTTGCCCTGGGTAGAGTGTGGTGACGTCACAGCTCACAGCAAACTCCAACTCTTGGGCTTGAGCTATTCTCTTGCCTCAGCCTCCCAAGTAGCTGGGACTACATGTGCCCACCACAATGCTCAGCTATTTTTTGTTGCGGTTTGGCCGGGGCCACGTTTGAACCCGCCACCCTCGGTATGTGGGGCTGGCACCCTACTCACTGAGCCACAGGCGCCACCCTATTGTTTTTTGAGACAGATTCTTACTCTGTCCCTGGTGTTAGAATGTCAGGGCCTCAGTCTGGGTCACAGTAATCTCAAACTTTAGGCTCTAGCAATCCTTCTCCCTCAGACTCCCTAGTAGCTGGGACTACAGGCACCCATAACAACACACAGCTAATTTTTCTATTTTTAGTAGAGGTGGTGTCTTGCTCTTGCTCAAGCTGCTCTCAAAGTGCTGAGCTCAAGGGATCCTCCTGCCTTGGCCTTCCAGAGTGCTAGGATTGTAGGGGTGAACCACCATACCCGGCCTAATTGTAAGGTTTTTTCTTCCTTCCTCCTCTTCCTTCTTCTTCTTCTTTTTTTTTTTTTATTGTTGTTTATTTTACCAGAGACTGCTGGCAAATGTTGTAAGGTTTAAATGAGGTAAGGAAAATACTGCATTTCCTATAGCACCTGGCACACCAGACATGTTCAACAGACACCAGCTGCTACTGTTACCCTAATTTTATTACTTTACCAGTTATGCAATCCAATTCTAAGAAGTATTTAGTATATGTCAGGCCCTTTGCCAGGAACATAGGGGTACCACAGTAACAGACATTGTATTTGGCCTCTAAGAAGTTGAAATCTATTTGGGAGAGAAGAGAAACCACCAATCAATAAAATAGTTCATAAGCACGTAATTTGACAGTTTAAAAAACCTGTCAAAGTGATCTAAAATCTCACTCTGTCACCATCATCCTAACTACAGCCTCTACTTGGCTGCATTTTCAGGCCCAGCTGTTTGTCCAGATAAGCCAGTCATTGCGATGTGATGGACTAGGCTTTGGGAAGCCTACATGAGCTTCATCAGACCCTTCCAAGCAGTCCTGCCATCTGTGTGCAATCCCATAGCACCAGCACAGCTGAGGCCTCAGCCCTGAGTCTCCCATCTTCAGGTGCCAGAGCCTGAGTTCCAGACAGCTTCTACAGGGCTTGCTGACCAGGGGCATTGCACTGAACAGTGAGGACTTTGCCCCCATCTTGGCCCTGGGGAGAGGGAATTCTGTTGTCAGTCCAGCCACCCTAGGAGGCTCCAAAAAGGGGAATACAGGATTGGGGCGGGCGAGGAGCAAGGACTGGCCAAAGGCATTTGTCCAAGAGGGATGGGAGGGACCACACCTAGGAGGAGTCAGAAACCAGGGAACTCAGCCAGCCTAGAAGATCAAATTCCTCCAGGGTGAACTCTGATTCAAAGTTGGGACGAGAGGCCTGAGGAGGGAGAGGGCCAGAGGGGAAGACGCTGTGCTCTGGAAAGGCCAGCAGCACAGTAGGCTCCAACCCACCTGCCCTACCTGCCCCTCCTTGGCCCTCAGTTGCCAGAATTGCTGTAGAGAAAGGAGGCAATGGAGCCAGACAGGACTCAGATAAAGCTTGATCCCAGGTAAGTGAGGGTGGCAGGCCCTGGGCCTGTTGCTAAGCAACAGTGTCCTTTATCGCTCCAGCCTGTCCCTATCTCCTTGCAGAGCCTTTTGGCTCTCAGTCACAGAATGAGACAGGACTGAGAACAGTCTGGCTATCTCCTAGGTCTTCAGGGACAATGTTGGTTTGGGCCAGTGTGGGACATCTCAGGGCCTTGGCTTTGCCCCCCAGTCTGGGGAGAAAAAGATCCTAGAGGTAGGGCTGTGGAAAGCATTACCAGAGGTAATTCACAGCTGGCCAGCTGGGGACCCATTCCTTTGCTAAGGGCCCCTCTTGCTCCCAGATCCTGCTCTTTCTCCCTGGTCAGCCCTGGGGTTACTACCCAGAGGAGAGTGGAGAGAATTGACTGTGGGCTATTTGAGCGCTGCAGCCAGACCTTACACACTAGTCTGGGCCAATTCTTACACCTAAGAAAAGGTCCTGAGGGGAAAGGAACAAGCCCCTGTACTCAGGAGCATTTGAAAGAGTATTAAGAAACTAGGGTCGAAGGCAAGCATGGTAGCTCATGCCCATAATTTTAGCTATTCAGGAGGCTGAGGCAAGAAGATTATGTGAGCTCAGAAGTTCATGTAACCAGGGTCCAATGTGCCACCCTCTTGCCTCCATCCCCCGTGGTTCTGAACACACACTGGTATCTCTGCAGGTACACAGCAGATCTTCTGCAGGTGCTGGAGACCAATTACAGTATCCCGCCTGCCTGTTTCTCCTACCCTCCCACGGCAGCCCAACTCCTGAGAGGTGAGCTAGAGACTCTCCCTAGAGGAAATTAAAAGGAGGGAAGTCAGGACAGCTGAGGGGAGCTGAGGAGAGGGGGCCTAAGCTGGTCAACCTGGACAGCCTGGGAGATGACTGAGCTGGTGTCCATCATAGTCAAAGCCTGGGAGAAGAGCAAGACCTCAAGAAGTCAGTGGGCCCAAAGGGGAGCATGGCACCCTAGCCCAGCGGACCAACCTATATATTGGGCCCCCACAAACCTTAACCTCAAAGCTCCATTCAAAGTGAGGATACCAGCCAGGTATAATAGCTCTTACCTATAATCCCAGTACTTTGGGAGGCTGAGGTGGAAAGATGGCTTGGTGCCTGGAGTTCAAGACCAGCCTAAGCAATATAGCAAGACCCTATCTTTAAAAAATAATTTCTTTTAAATTAGCCAGTTACAGTGGTAGTACCTGTAGTGAGAGTTACCTGGAAGGCTGAGGTGAGAGGATCACTTGAGTCCAAGAGTTTGAGGCTACAGTAAGCTATAAATATGCCACTGTATTCCAGCCTCAGCAGCAGAGCAAGACCCTCTTAGAGCAAAAACAATAACAAATTGGGGGCTCAGCGCCTGTAGCTCAAGCTGCTAAGGCGCCAGCCACATACACCAGACCTGGTGGTTTCAAATCCAGCCCGGGCCTGCCAAACAACAATGACAACTACAACCAAAAAATAGCTGGGTGTTGTGGTAGGCACCTGTAATCCCAGCCACTTGGGAGGCTAAGGCAAGAGAATGGCTTAAGCCCAGGAGTTGGAGGTTGCTGTGAGCTGTGACGCCATAGCACTCCACCCAGGGCAACAGCTTCAGGCTCTGTCTTAAAAAAAAAAAAAAATTGGGGGACAATTCAAGATGTTGCCTAACTGATCCAAGCCCTGTCAGGTCTCCTGGAGGTATAAAGAATGTTCTCATGGGGAAAAGGCCTCTATCTTCCTATAGGAGTGGTTATTGTGAGAGATGTGCTGAAAATTCAGGTGAACCTATAGAAGTGTTTTCACAGTGTCAGCCAAGGAGAGCCTATTATTGAAGTGCTTTAGAAAGTGAAAGGCAGGCTCAGCGCCTATGGCTCAAGCGACTAAGGCACTAGCCACATACACCTGAGCTGGCAGGTTTGAATCCAGCCTGGGCCCGCCAAACAACAATGATGGCTGCAACTAAAAAATAGCCGGGCATTGTGGGTATAATGCCGGGCATTACAGCCGGGCGCCTGTAGTCTTAGCTACTTGGGAGGCGGAGGCAGGAGAATCACTTGAGCCCGGGAGTTGGAGGTTGCTGTGAGCTGTGATGCCACAGCACTCTACCCAGGGTGACAGCTTGAGGCTCCATCTCAAAAAAAAAAAAAAGAAAGAAAGAAAGAAAGAAAGTGAAAGGCAGAGAATGAGACTCAACTTGTTCCTTGGATACCCAAAACACTGAGAATCAAATGGCCCCAGCATCTTTAGAGAAAAAGCAGCTCATCCACATTTTATTTTGCTTTCCTGCGGCATGATTGCCTCTGGGATGTTGGATACAAGTCTGCATCTCCAAAGTACATTTAAATCTTTTCCCAGCCTTCTTCTTGCTGTCACCTTATGGAATGGACTCTGTCTGAGCAACAGGATGCTGTCAGGACTCTTTTGGAGGCAGACATGGGCAATGTCCTTGGGCTATGAACAGGTTCTTTTCAGATGCTCTGAACAAGAGTAGTTTCAGCTGCCAGAGTGTCCAAAGACACCTGGTAGCTGCTCTATAGTTAGTGCTAGTAGATGGATGCCACACATCCTGCTGGGAGCAGCCCATTTAGAGAATGCAGCTGGTGGCACAAGTCTTCCCTCACACTAGTAGTTGTCAGCCCAGGGACATTTGGCAATGTCTGGAGACAACTTTCTTTGCCACACTGAAGGTGCTTCTAGCAGCTAGTGGCCAAAGGCCAGGGAAGCTGTTAAATCCCCTACGCTGTACAGGACAGCCCTCCATGACAAAGAATTGTCTCAGCCAAAGCATCAGTAATGTTCAGGTTGAGAAACCTTGCCTTGTACAGTGAAAAAAGTTCTCACATTGCTTTGCTACAAAATGTGCAAATATAAACCCCAAGGATGTTCAAAATAGACCACTCTAGGTCTGGTAGTCAAGCAAGCTGCCTTGTTGCAGGCAGAGCAGGTAGGATGTGGGGAGTGGAGAATGGGCAGCGGTCCTCCCAGGATGGTTCCTGAGCAGGCAGGTTCCCCAGACACTGAGGAGCTAGGTCTGACAGGATTCCAGGCTACTGATGGAGGAGTGGGGACTATTGAGAGGGCTAGGCAGGTGAGGTGAGGCCTGAGACATGCCACCTGAGGAGTTGTACTTTATCCCATAGAGAGAAGGAGCTGGCTCTGAGATTGGGAGGGGCTGCATGAAAATAATCCTTTAGGACTATTAATCAACAATCAGGATGGAGTGCAGGGGAAGAGCCTTGAGAAGCAGGGATATGAACTACAGGTTATTGCCCCAGTTCAGATGGGGTTAGTCAGAGCCTGGGCAGTGACAGGGAAAGGAAAGGAAGGGTTGAAAAACAGAGGCAATCTGGGAAGGATCTAGGTGTATAAGTGCAGGCTGCAGGCATGGTGAGGGCACAGACCCAGGACAGCCAGGAAGAGGTGCCTATTGGCGGACATGGGGAAACTCCTTTCTAGATTAATTTATAAACTCTCTTGTTACTTAAATTAAATGTTAAGAGAGTTACTCTGGAGGAAGTATTGAATATTTCAATTTTTTTTTTTTTT